GGAGCCCAGAACCGATTTGAAGAGGCTGCCAGCTTGTGCACATTCAGGTGAAAATTGGTGTTGCATACGTTACACCAAGCGGGCATACCCAAGTACTGAACACTGAAAGGGAGAAGGCGCTTTGTTATCTGTTACAATCCTGTCTCATTGGGGCTGAAGCAAAGTGAATGTTTTTGTTCTTCAGTGACAACTCATTTTCATAAGAATAGGCACAAATTTACAGCATTATTGGTGCGGGTACCAGGCAAAGAGCAGCAACAGCACTGATGAGGTTTCAAACCGACCCATCTTTGTTACCAGTGAAGATTAGTTGAGATTTGAAGCTTTGCAGAGGAAGCAATGCGGTAGCACCACATAGAAAACATCTATCATGAGTTGGCGAGTAATGAGAGCTGGTGAGGTTCTTTGATGACGAACACCTCATCACAAGGTAATAAATAAAAACACCGGCGGAAAAGGAAGTCCCAAGGAGCCTCCAGAAAAAATTTGGGATCTCACCACTTAATGTTTTCTATTTATCTAACCCCTCACCTTTGCTCTCTGTATCGCCGTAGGGATGACCCCGCCCCAGCCGCCTCCTTCCTGACATCATGGATGGCTGCCGCCGCATTGGCCGCCATGGCAACAAAAGAGGCCTGGCGCTGCGCTTTTCGTCCGGTGGGCGTAGTGGTGGGGACAGCAGAGCTGCTGGCCACCTGGGGTGTCTGCTTGACGCTGCTGGGCTTGTAATGGGCGGCTAGAGCCAGGATCAACCTCATGATGGCCTTTAGGTTGCCGTCAACAATATCTGTTAGTCAAGGAAAGTTGCAAGGATGATCAAAGAACAGCCCAACGATACCAAATTCAACAAGATGTGATTCTACGTGATTCATGCTTCACCTGAATGGTCAGGGTTAATTTTTCACTGAGTGTTGGGTAAATGGGACAGTCTTTGAAAGCATCAGTAAAATTCTCAAAACAAGGTCAAATTCGGTATTCTAGAGCATGTACACATGAAGATCAGACAGTGTAAATCAAGATTCAGCTCTGTTCAGAAGACAAAGGTGTACATGTACCGGTACACATTTGACACAGTGCTGTGGAGTAATGAATACTTCATGCATGAACACACACATATACTGTACCAACCAAAGGGACCGTTATAAACAGTCAAACATTTGGGCCTGGCCTTAACCCTAACTGCTCAAAACCTGCCATACTCCAACGGCAGGTTTTGTGAGGTTTTGGCAGGTTTGGTACCGTACCTGAGGAACTTCTTGTTGAATTTTATGAGACTTGGGATGAAAGGCCCAGGGAGATGGTGTTGGATTCTGTGTGAGTTGGGATACACACGGGTCACTGTGTGCAGTGTCTGGCTTGCTGTACCAGTTGTTGGACTTTGCTTGATTTTGTCAGGTTTGGTACTGTTCAGTGCAAGTCATCCTATACTGCATAGACCCATCCATACCATATCACTCAAACTCCAACGGGCTCATTCTGTTGGAGTTTATCAGGTTTAGTACAGTAACCTGCAAGTACAAGTACATTGACAAGTACATGAACCTGTTGGATTTTGTGAGGTTCAGGAGCCTAGGGATTAGGGTTAATGTACAACCCTGCCCTGTGGCAGAACCCTACCCTTGGCTGAGGTGTGGTGCATGCGGATCCTCTTCGACGCCATGAACTGAAGCACCCGCTCCACGTTATCCCTCATCGCCGTGGTGGTCTGGGGGTTGTAATCCACCCTGGCCAGGGTCTCACCAGCTGCTCAAGAAAAAAGCATCCCCCCCAAAAAAACCATTATTATTAGATATGGTGCACATAAAAAAACACAAAAATAGACCGAATTCCAAGGCACAAATTAAATTTTGTTAATTGTAAGCACTGCTGATACTTTGGGGGAGGGGGGGCAGAATGTACATGTACTTCGAAAGTCCCAAAAAATTTGGATCTTTCTTTACATAATGTCTGTAACCTTCTGGTATTTTACGTGTACATATACTGGCTACCAGTGCACAAAATGTTCACGGAGACACTTATTAAAATATTGTTGATGCTATTTATTCCACCTCATTAGTAGAATCATCACATCGCGCAATACATACAGATTACCAAAATGCGTAAGTGAAAACAGTTACAAGCAATAAAAAGTAGAGAAGGCAAGACTGCCAAGGAATTACAATTCCTGACCGTGATGATAAAAAGGTTCAGTCTGCTAACAAGAAATACCGGTAGGACAAAGACCAAAAGTAAAGTAATAAATACTGGTACCAGTAAGATCATTAAAAGATTAAAAAAAAGAGATGAAAAGATCTAAATATTGCTGTAACCTTAAATAGCCCTCCACATAAAACGGCTTCAGCCTGTGTACAGTCCAAATACAGATGTACAATGTACAGTGTACATGTTTCAGTTTCTTCAGGCTTGAAAGCTACAGTGCCTAGGGTGCTTTTGAGGAATCCTTGGTGTCATTACCAGAAATAAATAAAAAGAGTACAAAGGATTCATTACCAGAAATGAATAAAAAAAAGTACATGTACATGTACGGTAGGTACGGTGTATATGGAATCAGTCAAATTGGATTTGAAGTCAGCAGCATAGCCTTGCAATGGGAGAGTGCAGCTTTGCAGAGTGCCAGGGGAGACAGAACAGTAAAATTGGAAAACTGAGAAAGCCCACTTTGGACACTGATAAAAGAAATTCGTAAGAGGGAAAGTGCTTAATAATAGGTTTACAGGGGCTCATATTTCAATTTGCAATGGTCAAGCAAACTAAATCCTGGCTATATGCCTGCTTGAAGTTGCCGGGTGCATAATTTTTTCTATGCCGTTTGAGAACTGACCAACTCCATAAACTTGTACTGCCAAGTATATTAGAAAAGCTCGTTGTATCAAAGGTGCTTCCCAAGAGCCTGTGGAATACTTTCGCATACATGTACATGTACGCCTGATGAGCATAGCATATGCTTCAAACACTCAATAGGGATTTGTTTTTTGCATGAAATCCACAGGAATCACATCTGTTCGCCATATGGTTTCGACCTGTCGTGGCAAATAGTATAACAATTCCATCACGAGTTCCCAGGCAAACTGCCAAATGTATGCTTACACGCAAGTTGAGTTAAGGAACCCATGGATATGAAAAAATGTTAGAACACTTGAGATAAGAACAGATGCAATGAAAACTACTGCTTCCTTGACAGCCATGGTGGTAGAGAATTGGCAATAATGGTTTTGATGGATGCACATACATGTACTTTAAATATCAAACTGACTTACATGTATACATGTACATGTATACAACAAAGTGTATGCATGATCGAGTGACCACTTCCTTGAGACTTTGTCTTCAGCATAGAAAAGATTGTGTGAAGATTGCAAACCTACAAACGATCCAAATTTAAAATTTGGGTTCTTTTCAACAGTTTTGAACAATTTGTCAATGGACGGAGATTTTGTATACATGTACACTTTTTTCTTTGCAACTTTGTGCACAGTGCCCTTAGCGCTGTGACATTTTTGTCAGTAGGTGCCGACCTTTCTAATCAAAATTTAACCTGACAACTTTGTCAGAATGCGTTTATTCACTTACAGACTATTTCCACCAGATGAACAAGCGGGACGCCATCTTGCATGTCCCGTCTCAGGTCTTCTACGATGCGACATCCCGGCCGCTTCTTCAGCTGTGAGTTCACCCAGGCTACATATGCCTGCAGTTGTTGCTATTTTGAGAAAGAAAAGGCAAAGCAACACAGATACTTGGTTACCATGCAAATGGAAATTTGGATAAATTAAACTTCCAGCAAGGCCATACTGCAAACTTGTGATCTTTTGGAAGAAGTGCATAGATCCACAATATGCCACATGTACAGAGATGACACCAATTGCTGGGCTGGAATGAAAAGACAAATAAAAATACTTGCAAGAAAACACTGCCTGTTCCATTTGTTGTCCGTTCTTGGAACAAAGCATGTCGGCGAATGCACACGGTTTATGTACGCATACATGTACATGTGTACGTGTATGTACATGTACATAATGCACTTCAAGTCAGGAATAGTGTGTTCCTAATGGTAACACAGCAATTCCCATCAGGACTCCATCCCGGTTCTGTACTCCATCCCCCTACCGGTACTTTGCTTTTTCGGGGAGGGGGGAGGTTCCTCAAACTTAAAAAAAAAAATAATCAGCATCAACCGATTATTCTTTGAGCTTTGAAGTTGCACAGACCAGTTCTTCCTTGCATTTTTCTTTAGCCACACAAACATGACAAAACACTTCTTTTTAAGAACAGCCTGTGAAAAAAAGGAAATTCAAGGTGGTGGCAAAACTCCATTCCACTTAACTTAACACAGAGGTGACAAACATATAGCTTCCAATGTACGGTATACACCCCTTCCCTATAAACACAAAAAAACATGAGAAGAGACAAAGGGAACCAAAATAACAATAACCCCCCCAAAAAAAAAGAAAGTGATGAATTTAAGGTTGTTATCCGAAAATATTTCACAGGATGTGCAAAGGGTATATTTTAATTATCTCACTTTCACCTTCATGCGATCTTTGCAATATGTTGCATTGATCCTTATTGATCAGTGTTGTCAATGTTCAGTCACTCCTGGCCTATTACGAGTAGACCCAAAGGCCATATTGAATGCAATCTCTGTATGCGACAACAGCGGCTTTGGTATAATTGTCAACTACCATTTGGCTGAGTTTGTGGCACTGCGCCATATGGCGTGGCCATGGTTTTGCCAGTAAATGTATAATGTACATGTACGTGTACTAGTCCATTAATTAACCCTAACAGTCCCAAATCCTCCGATAACAATAGGATTTTACACATACACCCTAGGGGGTTTGGGTTAAGCCTAGTGTACATGAACTGTAGACATGTATGTTTTGTGCAAAAGCCAAAAATTACTAACACAGGTACATGTACATGTATCTTAACTGAATTGAATATTAAAATGCACTGTGTTTTAAGCACACAGGCTTGACAGGTGCTCTGACTTTTAGTGACATGCGCACTGTTGCATTTTTTCCCATCACTTTTGTTCTGTATTTGTTTCCATTTGCTTTGGTTATGTTCTCTAACAATCAGCAGCTTACTTTCAAATCAATTTATATTTAGGGGATGGGGACTGAATTACACTGACATGATTACAAGTATAGGCCCAGTAGTGCAGTAGATTATAGCACTACTCTACCTGTCCACATGTATGCACCTTCCTTCTACGGTAGCTAAAAACTAAACAATCTGGTGATTAACTACAGATTGATCTGAAAATGTTCATTCAGTGATCAAGGCCAGGTTTCCCCTGCCTATTCAAGTGTAAGGAGGTCCACCTCACTGATTAGTGACCACCTCAGGCTCTTCTGTTTAATTTTACCACCTCACACTTAAAATAGACAAAGCTGGAAGGAGAGAGCAAAACAACTTACACGTACATGTAGATACTGGTATTTTGCAACAAATCAGCTGTAAATTGTTCACAATATCGATATATTTTAGAGGGAAAAGTTCAAGAAAATGTAGATGTACTGCTAGTAGACTAAATGTTCCAAGAATTCATTTTAGGCCTTGTTGAAAACATCCACTTTTGTTTTAGGCACTAGAATTTTGGCCAAATTTGTTGGACCTACATGTAATGCGCATCGGTAGCCCAGGAGAAACTGTGGATCAAGGTAGGGCTTACTGAACATGCACATACATGTACATGTACATTACATGTACAGACATGTGTACTGCAGCTATGTACATGAACATATACATGTACACGTACATGTACAATGTACATGTACATGATTTCCAGTGCCTGTGTGTGCCAGATTATGGGTAAATTTCCGAATTAACATGTACATGTGCATAAAACACAACATATTGTGTTCTACTAACAAATGTACATGTATGATGGACGTACAGTAGTTACATACATGTACTGTATCTATCATGAAATGACAGCCTGGAACAGACACAAAGTTCTGTTCAAAGGAATCATGCACAGATACGGACACGTCGGTCCCAAAATATGATAATGTTTCCATACAAGTTTTAACATCCCCGTCAGATTAGGTGTCACATGACTGCACCCCAGCACAGCCATACGTGTACATGGGACAGAGCTGCATTATTGAATTCTCTCCAAGGCAGAATGTGATTAAGAGCCAGTCAATGAATTAAACCCTTCATGCATTAAAAGGAGATCTGCAGCGATATAAGCTAACCCTCCAGAGAGCTAACCAGATCCTGTTCATTCTTCAAAGCTCAATGTTTATTTTGAGCTTCGCAGTGTCCGGCATTTCTTTTTTATCTAAATGTACACAGTTCCAGCTAAATTCAGTTTTGCACCAGACAGACATTGATCAGCTCAGCTCGTACACATAAGAGTGTACATCACTCTTTAGACATGTTAGAACCCAGCACCACACCGGTACTCAGATCACCGGATTTACAGCAGAAATCTGCTTACACTCTGTTAATCCTAAGCTACCGGTACAACTGGGGTTTGTTGGCCCAACACAATAACGGAAGGATAAAATGCAGATACATGTACACTGTACTAGAAGACAGCGATGATTTCTTCTACATGTACTGGTACATGTACATGTAGTTTCTTCGGGGGGGGGGAGGAATTTGTACCTATGCATTTCATGCAAAGCTCGTCTTTTTCATCCGAACTGTAACTCGATGCAAAATCCGGATGGTATTGATGAAAAAGATGGCCTAATGAACTGCTCCAAAACTGGGCTAGATCTCTTCCTGTCGGCCCAACTGCAGTCAGATCTATCATTGTCCTGTGCACCGATATCAGCCTCGGGAGTTGGTCTGGCATTACAAAGCCAACGAAAAACACTTGCCTCTCAACTTCACAGATGTACTGGTACATGTACCGGTATTTTACTTTTAACAAAAAATTTAAGCTAAAGTGTACAAACCTACATGTATAGAATGCCGAAGTGAAAACGTCACACGCACACTTCTGTGTGTAAAAAGCATTAGCGAGAGTACCCCCCCGCTTGAACCAACGCACACGCGACTCCATTCGTTTGTACAATATATATCTACTCTACACCGCAGCTCTGCACAATACCATGAATTGTATGGTGTAAAAAAACAATCTTCCATCTTCACCATTACTCCTCCACAAAATAACACCTCTGTCCATACTGTACATGAACCGGTATACAGGTAGCATTCAGAATTACATGTTGTACAGGTATACAAACCTCGAGTCCAAATTACTGGTTACTTTTTTTATTGTACAATACAAATTTACATATTTTACAAATGATACAGACTGTCTACATGGCTAATTCCTGAAATCAGGGGTCCAAAAGTGTGACATTTTTGTGTCCCTGTTACACCTGACCGCTGTTAAAGTATTTGAAATGGAAATATCACCGGAATTGATATCAAACTACTACTATTTGTTTGACAGGTAACTTCCATTAATTCATCACTCTTGGATATTAAAAAAGTGTTCTGAACTTACAAAATCATGTGTGAGATGTGACAGGGACGCAGAAAAAATGGACCCCTAATTTCTGGAAATTACCCACATACATGTATATACCGCTATATGTGTGGGTAAGTTTTTCCACTCCACCGTTGCGGAAAAAATTTTATGAGTCAAAGGGATTAACTAACAGTAAATGAAATTTATTATTTGGTACTTTTTACTGCAGGAACCAATTTGTTGCAGAGTGTATAAAAGCATTAAATCTTGTTGCTGTTGTGGCAACAGTAATAACCCCTAAAACAGTTGTATATGCGTATACATGTAGGTACCGGTACATGTATTGAACATTAGTATAAAGTACATCCAACATGTACGCAGGCATTTAGGTGCCATGTTACAGTTTACAGTACAAATCATTTCATTTGTAAACAGCTGAAAACATTTCAGACGACAAACTGTACTCACATACAGGTACCGGTACATGTACATGGGCAGCCAAAGCTAGCCAGAGTACCTCAACATAAACAAATTGTACAATTCGCCCCATAATACAGGTACCGTACATGTACAAATACAACGTACAGGGGTACTGATTACTTTTCAAGAATGTCATAGTTTCATTAAGTTTTAATGCTTACACTGCTTAGGTATTTCGATAGCTGTGTAAAGTTTTAAATATGTGGTATACTGTTCCTTTGATTTCATACTGATGGCCTGCCACAGTTTTGAACCCAACACTGGCAGGCAAGAAACATAACCCTCACGAAGAAATATTAATTCGAGCGATTTAAGGTTTGAGTGACACTCAAATATTGTACACGTGACAGCAACTCAATGTCGACTTCTCACAAATCTGAAACTCCAATCTTGTTTTGTGCTACATGTATACATACAAGAGACCTACCTCCTTGTAGAGATTCCACGCATGCAGGACGCACCATCTCTCAGCCAGGAGCAAGCGCAGTGCCTTGACGGCCAGGGAAGCGTGCTTGATGCAGCCCTCTCCCTCCCTCCTCCTCCTACGCCCATCCCTCTTCTGACCCCCGTCCGGACTCATGACGGAGGCCGTGGAGGAGGCACCGACCAGAGTGGACTGGGAGGCCCACAGCAGGTGCTCGCGACTCACGCTGGTGTGTGATTCCATGGTTTGAGTTTTGGGGCAAGAGATTGCAGTCAATTTAAAATCACGGAATGAACAAGTACCGTATGTGGCTCTGTGCGCTGTGCCGGTACATGTAATATTAGGCAAGTGCTAATTA